ACAGACAAGCCAGGTGACCAGTCCATGAACCCTGACCAGAGTCAGTAATATTACCTGTTTCTGTGTATATCATAACACCGAAAAAGGTTAATGTGAAGAATGATGCCCACTGAAGACAACCATAGGAAGTAGACAGACTCAGTCAGTGAAATCCAGATACTCTGCACCACGAGTTGGTAGCTTGGCTTCCTTTGTGCTCTACCGCCACCACTACAAATGGTCAACAATAGTACTACAACAACTAACTCTCCAAGATATCAGTACAAATAAAGTTCCATTAATTCAAATAATGTCTCTCTGTATTGCCTTTTGGTTCTTAGTAATATTTTTTCTGTAAAGTATACTGTACTCATATTGAAACCTTATGAAAAAGGGCTCTCAGTTTCTCTCATCTTTATTTCCTTACATTTGGAAGCCAAAGGGATGACAAGGAAAATGATGTTCATGAACCTTCACACATTTCTCTCATTTCTGTTATTGTTGAAAGACATTGGGCAGGCATTCTGTGTCCTTAAGTGTCGAGGCCATAAAGATATGGGAGGAAGTGACCCCAATCTGCTAGCCTTCAGAACACCGTTTAGCTGCTCTGCTGATACCTCTGCATTCCATGAAACAATAAATATCAGAAGATCAAAGGGGGTGCCCCGAACTCTGACTAGCAACCAGTAGGTCATGGGAAGATACATTTCCCCCAATAATGAGGAGGATCCCAAATTTATGCCAATTTTAGCCAATCAATTTGTTAATTGCTGTATCTCTGTGTAAGAAACGTGTATAAAATCTTCTTTGGGTGTGATCGGGGTTCTTCTCTGCCTTAAGGGGAGACCCCAGCTGACTATTGGCCTGCTTTCAATAAAACTTTAAAATCTCAGCTGGTGTTTTCGCGTCTGATCTTCTGCTGGACTGAATTCTAATTGGGGAGAGTCAGAAACTCTCAAATTTTGCTAACAATATATGTCACCCTTGGATGAGTTTGACATTGTAAAACGGCCATGGAAGTTGTGTAAGTTTAAAAAAAACAGTTCAGGAAGTAATTTAATGGACTGTACAGTTTATTTTACATGAGATGAGACAAAGCTTTTCAAGTGCATAATACAAACTTGCTAAAATAGGAGGAAAATACAATGTTTATGGAAATGTTTGTACATAAAACAAAAAAAATGTATAGCAAATACTTTCAACATTTAAGGGATAGATCTTTAGCTGGGGTAAATCAGTGCAACTCCATTGACATTAACACACAGGAGACATACCTGAACCGACAACATTTCCCTTGAATCTTAACAAGCATTTACCTCTTCAGCCACAATATTTTAGTGATACAATTGCATGGGACAAAAAAGCCGTATAACAGTGTTCACAATGATTAAAGACTCATTGTTATTATTAATACACAGGGCTTACAGTTGAATTAAGGTTTTAATGTCTAGTTAGCCAAAAATCAGCAGTAAAGTATTATGAAACTCAAAGCCATTACTGCTGGCAAAAGACATTTTATTGTAAAAAAATTAGAAAGTGTTTAGTAAAAGGGTAGAGGATAAAAATACCAGATAGGCAATGCTATTTTATTTTATTTCTTTATAAAAATCTGCTTTGGAGGAGAGCTAATGGCTGGCCAAATCTGTCCTCCCAAGCTCGTATATTTGAAAAACAGTTATGTTGGATAATGAAAATGAATACATTATCTGAATTTGTTTATCCCTATAGCTTGTGTTCAGTCTAAAACATTTGGAAATGCATGTTTGCATAAAAAGGATTGCTCTGATATGAGGGATACATAGCAAATTTAGCTAATTTGGAGAAAAGCAATGAAAAATAGAGATTTTCATGCAAATTGGTTTGAGAAATGAACAAAGTTTTATTTGCCATATTTCAAATGCAACTGACACGTTTAAGCATGATAATGGTTTGTACGAACACTTACATGGAAATAATTTTTACTATACCCAGTGGGAGTAGTAAATGTGCATAGGGTTCAGGTTTTACTAATTGTACTGGGATATAAATTCACTTTGCTAGGTTTTTGATGACAGTCATATTCACTTGCTTGTTTGGCAACACATGTTATTGCTACTATATAGGCATGACTACCACCAAGTACTCAAACACTGAAGATGGTCTTTCATTTTCTTTGCCAGGATTGCTCTGTTTTAGGTTCAAAAGATCTATGTATAGTGATGGCATAACAAAGACTCATGCCACTTTCTATAAATTCCAAAAATCCAAAACGTTTGCTACAATTTATTCAAACTACCTTCCACAAGCTCTCTTTGAAGAAAAAGGTAATAAACAGAATAATTTGAAAACAGCATCGGTGTGGATCTAAGATAGCCAAACCTGGAGCTTGCCTGGTTAAGTGTGATGAGAACCAGTTGTAAAAGATGTCAAGGCTCTACACCTGATGCATGTGTGTTTGATAGTCTATTATTGTTAAATCTGTAAAAAAATATTCTATTAAAATTCACAAAGTGGATTTTTACCTCAGAAGTGCAAAATCTCTAAAGTCTCTAAAGTTATAATCCTATTCATCTATATTCAGGAAAAAATAATAGAACATGTTTCTGCACTGACATGAACAGGATTGTATTGGAACAGATCCTTTCAAAACATCCTAACTGGCACCTGAATTTTAGCATAAAACTAATATTTGACTCTATTATAAGAGTATATCAAGATCAATGTAACCACATAGCATAACGTGCTAAGCTATTTTTGTTTTAATCAGGCTTTTTTAAAAAAAACATAAGCCACACAGGTTCACACATAATATTAAGCTGCAGCCGTAATTTTTAAACTACAAACATTGGGTTTCATGGAACACACTAAGCCAAATAAAACAAACAACATTAAAGCTTAGTGTAGGGGTGACAACTTCTAAAAGGACAGGAGCCACAATTCAGGTTAGAGCCTGAAATATTTTGGTCTGTTTTGAGCTATGTATATGTATATTTAATGAGCAGAGGATTCTGGGAAGCAACCACTACCATTCCTATTCTTAAATCTCCTCCAAACAAGAAAAACAGCCCAAATAATTGCACTGAAATTTGGCCACCTTGCTATCCAATTTTAGTGGTACAATCTTAGGGTATTGGGGAGCCCAAGGTCTGCAGATTACCCAACCTTGGCTTAGTGTAATGTGTGAACTCAATAAGAAATTATTGTGCATTGTTCATCAACAGATTTAGCGAGCAAATCATCGTACATGAATAGAGAATGCATTTCAGCACTTGTCCAGCTGGAGGGTTGAAAGGACCAAAGAAAAAAGAAATTAAATACTCTGAGTAGCTGAAGAATTTATGGACATTATGACATAACCAGAAAGCTTTACTGTCTCATACACCTGCAAGAGTCCTGCATGTGGGAATATTAAACTAGCAAGGGAATACCGCTCTTTTATGGCTATTATAGCCTTGCCTTGCTCTTCAGCAAACGATAGTGGCAAACTGCCAAAACATCTTGGAAGATGTTTTACATCCATTTGATTTATGAACATTTTTGTTGACATGCTTAGATGAAAAGCAAGTGAAAGTTACAGAAATATTAAGCAAGAAAATCCACCCTGGCTTGGCAACATGGGATGCATGTGGTGCCATCTCCTGGTACATTGTACAGTGTTCAAGACTATATTTGAGAGCAAACGCTCATCAAATTGCTGAGAATGTTTTGAGAGAGTTGTGCAAATCAGCCATGTTCTATTTCAAAGGATGGTCAATTCAATTTGAATCATCAATTCAATTTAACTTTGCACAAAAGTCCATGGAGCTCTAAAATTGATCCAAAAGCAACTAAAACTGAATTGAATTCTGCAATTCAAAGGGATGATTAGATCCAATTCCCACCTAAGCCTCACATACTCTTCTTTTCCTTCCTGGTGAGATGCAACTGCATGCTATGTCTGTGAAGTTTAAAATCCACTTTGATAAATCCTAGTGGGTTTTATCAAGAGGGCCTTTTATCATCTCTGCACCTTTGAGCTTGTCTCAATATATTTAGCTACCTCTCCAGCTGCTTTCAGCAGAAACACCGCCCATAATAATTCTTTGCTATGCTTTGGCAAAGCATTAGCAAAGCAAGGAATATCCACTGGTGGACAGAAAAAGAGTTCAAGGTATTGGACTACATAAAATTTATTTATTTACACCATTCACATATTCTTATCCATATTATGTACACAAGCACTGGTATTAACCAAGTTCATAACTATATTCCTAAATTATCCTGATAGATGTCTCCTCTCTCCAGATGACTCTGGAAACTATAATTCTGAACAGGAGGGTAAGAATCTCTAATAAAATATTGTCACCCCATTCATCAAACTATTATTTCCAAGGTTCTTTGAAAGAAGTTATGACTTTTAAATTGATATATATTCACTTACAATGTAAATAAACGTGGTGTATAGAAATTTCCCAGTCAAAATATTTGGAAAACAAGCCTTTAATCCCCCTTTTCATATGTGCAAATTGTCTTTAGCTGAATGTTCATCCTGCTGTCAGAAAAAAAGCACAACAGCATTCCCAGAAGATCCTGTTCCACCAGTCTATTTTGAGATTTATAATGTAAGTAACCTTTAAAAATACTTCGACTAGCTTTCTTAGCCAGGGACACTATATTACTGATTGAAAATTGAAAAAAAATGGGTTCATATTAATGTTGCAGTGGAGATTCCTTTAGACATTGCTAAACCAACTCTACCTGCTATTGGAATTATTATCTAAAAAGTCTCAGAAGGCTATTTCAAATGTTAATTTTCCACTGTGGCCATCAGTGACTTGCTTTGTACAATGTGCTATAGTCTTGAGTGATGACAAATCAGAGGCATCACAACACATGCAAAGATATTGATTCTTTGCATATATTGCTCCATGGCCATTAGTATATTAATGGCCCAGCCATCTATTTTCTGAATTCCAAATATCTGATGAATAAATCTATAAGGGAAAAAAAGAATCAGAAAGGATCCTAGTATTGGTGTCTCTCAAACATAACCTTAGGACAATTATTATCATCCTGAATGTGATGGTGGCTATTCTTGGTTATGAGGAGGAAAATCTGTACAAAACAGGGCAACTAATACAGATTTGTCCCTTCCAATTCCTGCAAAAAGGGCAAATAAGGGAAAGCTAATCTGGGTAGTTACTGATGACCATAAATCTCATATAGATATTTACCAAACATTTTCTTTTAACCAATCTGATCGTCAAATTGCTCAAACCAAACTCCTGCACAGGTTAATTGCTTGTGATGTTTTTCTCTTGCATTGCCTTCAGAATGGCTGCTTTTAAAAAAATCAGCTGGCATTGGTCCTATCTGTCACCTTCCTTTCTCCCCATTTTCTTGAAAGATGGAAACTTAAAGTTAGCTTTATGATCGCCTTTCTCTGCCACTTTCACATCCAACCCTGGGTTAGTAACAGAATGCAGAGTCACCATGCCAAAAGAAAGCGGCTGTGATGATAGTTGGGCTACACTGCCCAACTAAGTCTAGGAGAAACTTGCACTTTCTTTAATGGAAAGCAGAAGTTGGCTTTGCCTTCCCATTTCTCCCTAGGCATGGGCTAAGCAGAGCAAAAATGTTTGCTGCATGCAGGGAAATATGATAGAGGAAGATGCACACTGGAAAGATCTAAGAATCTTAATTTGGGCTTCATCCCTGGTGCAGAGAAATGAGGGGAAAGGGAAAGACCTGTACAGAAAATAAACTTTTTCATACTTTATCAGCCTGGGAGGACAATGCCCTTAAAAGCATAAGAAATGGTTCTGAGTTCCTCCAAAGAAGTGTGTCTTACAGCAGGAATTTTAACATGCTGTGTCATTAATTTAACAACAACAAGATTGTTACTTCTTTCCTTCCTTGTGAGCCATGAAGGTTACCTTCTTAAAGATGCCAGCTAGGAAGAATTCAATTCCAATACAGGAGAATGTAATTCTGAATAGCAGGTAGGATTGCACTAAAAAAGGATAAACCTATTTGCTTAGGCTTATTCCTGTACTAAACTAGAAATAATTTAAAGAAACCTATGAGAAAAACATAAATGGAGAAATCGCACATACCCTTGACCTTTCTTCACTGAATTCAGGACTGGAAATTGAGTGTCAAGCCTGCTCAGCCTTACTCACAACAGAGACACAATATTAAAATAAGAAAAGCAGAGGTGTATTGTCACATCATGAAGATCACGAAAGAACAGAACTGAGGTTCCACAACAGAGAATTTGCTGTGGTCAGTAGATTTAACATGGAAGAACCTAACTGCGTGCTCCAGATCTGACTGCATCTGTGACAAATCACACTGACATGTATTGGGAATGAGTTAACTAGTCAGCAAAATAAAACAATACAGATCCCATTGGGGGCAGATGGTACAGGATGAAAGCCCACACAGAACCCAAAATATCACATTCTATTTGGATACAACACAACCTGTGAAGAACATTATCATATATTAAGAGTTTCTCAATTTTCTGAATGCCAATCCTTATATAAAATGCCACTATCTATTTTCAGGACAGAAATAACAATAGGTTCAGGGGACCCTCAAAGTTTGCAAAAGTGCAGTGATATTTTTAGAAAACCTTTGGGAAGGAACCCTCCAACTAGCTCAGTGAGAACAGATGATGCTCAGTGAACATGTAATCATGAAGGGGGGAAAATAGAATGGCATATCCAGAATATTAAACAAGAAGCCCTTCATATTACAACATTGACGTACATTACATTGTTGATCTATGCTTGCATTCATCTATACACTGACACGGAACTAAAAATCTGCCAAACTTCAGATTACTATTTAAGTAATCCAAAAGTGCTTCCTTTGCAAAAATGAAATCCTCTCTTAATAATTTTCTATCATACCTTTTCTCAAGATGCTAGTTAGAATGAAAACTTCACAAAGCATTACAATCTTCCTTGTGAATCTTGAAGAAGAATAAATCAAATCTTGAGCATTGGGAAGTTTTTAAAGAATGGGAGCTATGTAATTAAGAGAGATTAAGCAGCTAGAAACCACATTAAACAAAATCAAGTTGTAAATGTCTGGCTAATCTGATGGACATCCAAGCTAAATATGGACCGATATAAACATTCCATAAAGCAAAAGGCACAAAGTACACTTGCAAATCATCCCACAATTGTAGGTCATACCAAAATGTCATGTAGAAAGAATGCAGTAAGTAATATTTGCGAAGAAAAAAAAAATCCAGTGACAGATCCACTGGAATGTAAAAGGGTCACAGCAGGCATATTAAAAAGGCAGTGAGGCGCTGAGTTTCAAAAACAGAGAGAGAGACTCATAAGCTTGGCATGCTAATCCTCTTCTCCCTTTGAATTTCTAATATATGGCTTTCTCGTTCTACATTTTGCAGCCAAGAAAGTCTAGATGTAGAGATATCACTAGACCAAATCACAAGTCAGGAAGCATCTACGTAACTGAGCAGTGGAATGTTCCAAAGAGCCAGCTGAAGAGGAAATATGCAGGTTTCACCCACAGCTGCTTTAGGTGGTGAAAGAGAACTTCAACTAAAGCATCCAAGTGAGTTCTATCTTGTCCTAGGAAAAAGAAATGGAAGAAGAATACTAAAGGCAGCACTGGTGATTTGAGTGGGATGGGCCAAATAAATTTGACAGCTCAATATTTCTGAAGAAGCTGGTGAAAAGACTTCTACCAAGCCAGAACAATGTGGAAGAAAGTAATTGCTGATTACTTTCCCTCAAATTCTTAGGGCATAACTAATGGACCCCAAAAGACAGAAGTTGTAAGTAAATCAACAATTGAGACCTTGCTCTTTCACTATGATCCCTGGTTACAATTATCATGGCCATACAGGAGTGACTACATGAGTGACACAAATGGTATGTGGTTGCTGTCTGAGGTGTGCAACTTCCATCAGACTGAGGGCACACTGAGCTTTGCATGACATGTTGAGGGCTGAACTAAAAAAACAAAAAAACAAAAACAAAAACAAAAAAAACCCTGAGACCGTGGTGGCTTGAGAAGTTTTAAGTGGTGAAATTAGCATCTTAAGCAACTGCAAGGCAACTGTGTTAGTATCTTAAGCAACTGCATTCATTTTGCCCCTTAAAACGTCAAGCCCCCAAAAGACACCCAAAAAGGTTCCAATCTTTTTGCCCCAACCCACTTTTGGGGTTCCTGGGGAGCATAAAAGGGATGCTGGTGAGCAATACGCATTTTCATCCTTCATATAAAATAATAATGTTTTAAAAGAAATGTAGAACTTGAAAGAGAAGACATAGATTGTCAGAATTTAGTCAGGGAAATACACTGTATTGTTTGAAATAATCACAGCAAGAGACCTATGAATCTGTTTACAATCTTCTGCAAAATCTTGGGGAGTTTTCTGTAATCAAACCACATTTTGCTATCACCAGTCCCTGGAGTTTCAATGAAAGCAGAGAAAAGCACAGTAATGGGTAAGATAATGATGAGAGATGTAGGTATAAGAAAAAGGAGACAATTGTTAGTTGATAGCAAGCAGCAAACACATGAAAACCAAATGATCCAGGCAGTGTCTCACATTTGCAATTAAGGTGCTTTGAATACTTTTTTATCTAGAAAAATAAGATAAAGATATTTTAAATTCAATCCAATTAAAGTGGAGTCCTTAGAATATAATTTGGAAAGGGCAGGCAATTTTGGTAATTTGCTGTGAGCAGTTTCTTTTATATTGCTTGATGACTGTGAAGAAATTTGGAGTGAAATGTACAAAGAACTGCAGTCCATTTTATCAAGAGAATATACAAACAGTGTCAAGTATGAAAAACAGAAAAAGCCCAAAAAATCAATGGGCAACGACTGAAGGAAGCTCTGAAAACCATCAGCTACAGAAAGGATGCAAAGAATACAGAAATATCACAAGCTTCAAAACAGGAAAGGAACTAAATAGATGTCTTAGAAATTCTTTTTATGTTGTTTTCTGTCCAGGCCTTAATTTACCCACACATACCAGCAGGATAAATTGTACTTTTTGCAAATCTTGACAGTCAGCTTCTTGGGAAAAAGACAAATTATATTTCTTATTATAAACCTGTGATGACACTAGAAATGGAAAAAGGGGATTTCATTGGTAGCAAAAAGCAAGCCAAAAGGCCAAAAAACAAAACCCCAAAAAAACGAAAATCAAATGAAGGCACATTTGAGCTGTAACTAACTGGAATAGCTTGTGTGATCGTTTTCTTCATATTTAACAATGTAAGCATCAAATAATCAAGCAAAACAATGCCATCTTTCACCCCCAACCTCCTCCCATAAGATTTTCGAGTTCAAGAGGCTCAGGTTATCTATATTACTTCTCTGTAGTTTAAGTTAAAATCATTACTTTGAAAATAGAAAGGGCAAGAGTTATAGTGCTGATGGGAAGTCTGGTCAAAGAACTGACAAATGCATTCCAGAAAAAAAAAATGATTTAGGAAATAAAGAAATGAAGAGTAGATGTTTATGACACATGTTCAAACAAAATACTTGGCAGTACAAAAAATTAAAGCTCTGATACTTGAAGCAAATATTTGTGCTATACAAACACCATTGCAAGACAAATGAAAAAAGGAGAACGAAGAACAGGATGGTTTCCCCTCAGCAGTTTCTCAAATACAGGAGCTCAGGATAAATTGGTAAGGCCTTGTAGTACCGTCATAAATAGCTGCACTTCTGAAAATATCTAGCAGTATAATGCATCTTTGGCTGGATTTCATATAGTCACTTCTTAACTCACTTGTGCTGATTTTTGGCCATCTGATAGCTTTGCAATGGGACTTAATATGGCCTGAACTCCGTTATAAAATAAAACACTTTTTAAAATAGCTGCCAGAGTGTGGGAACTCAAGAGCCAAAGGCATGCAAAATCTTCCCCCAAACCCAAGTTCCACTTGAATTTTGCTGGGTCATCCATCCAGAGATCTTTGTGACATGAGCACAAAATCGGTTATCAGGGAAGACATATTGGCTAGGAAGGTCCTGGCCTCTAATAGTTTCATGTAGGTTATTTGGCAGATTGAGATACACTTTGAATTCGGTTTCTTACAGTCTTCCAAAGACTCTTGAAGCACACCTGATGGGAGGCATCTGGGCCTCGAGAGTGCTCTTTTTCTATTGGGGGTCAATGGTTCCAATTCTCTGATCGTTTCTGCAGATCCTGGAGAAGTCAACAAGATCACAAGTAGCTTGAGGACTGCAGCCAGTAAGTAGTACCTGAGAGACAGTGTAAAAGAGGGCCAACCCAAGCGGTTTTCTTTGGGTCCATTGTCTCCTGACCCATGGCCTCATTTTCTTTACCTGAAAAAGCCTTTTCACTGTAGCCTTGCAATAGCATTTGTAGTTATAGGAGACAATGGTTGTTAAAACATAATACTCTACAGATATTATCCTCACAACATCCCTGTGAGGTAGGTAAGCATTACGAAATCCATTTCATAAAGTGTAGATGGGAGAGAAGGAAGGGGGTTAAAACCATCTCCCCACTCCCACCTAATTCGGTGGGAAAGTTCAGGAGGACCTCTCTGCTTCCAGAGTCACATTCAAACTCATCCGTCCATATGTTTGGCACAGCCTTATTGTGTCTTAACATTACAGTACAAAACAGAGCATCATGCAAGGGGAGTAGCACAAAATAGATAATCACAGAATAGCAAAATTCTTTTTGTACCAGCAAACAGACCCAGCAATTGATCATGGGAGTGGCACGTGCTTGGCTGCTATGAGCCTGTTTCAAAAAGAAGGAAAAAGAGTAGCTTCTCAACCCTGGAATGTTGGATGTTTAAGGCATAGCACTATAGGAATGGAATAATGATCAAACATGACAGAAATAGTCCTTACAGACAATAATAAATAGTTACGGAAGCTGACAGTGGAACATCTCTCCTGTTCCTCCTCTTGAAGCTTTAGGGAATTCCCTCGAACTTGGTGGAGCCAAAAGCCCACCTGGTCACAGAAGTCTATATTTCCATATCCACAGGTCTGATGTTACCGGTTTTATGTTCTTTTACCCACAGTTCTCTATCTTTGGCTGGGTCCACTTTCTGAAGCAACTGATCCACGGGTTCCACTGTCTGAAAAGCACAAGAGCCACACACCATTATTTTCCAATATCTACAAATGGATGCCTGGTAGATGTTACAGTTTAACTGCGCCCATATATTTTTCTTCTTCAATATGCAGGCTCTTTTATGCTCTGTCATGTTTAACTCTACAGAATTAGCGATTATAAATACCCACTTCCAATATGGGTCTTGAATCCTAACCTTATACTATCAAGAATCCCATTTCAAGAGTTCCAAGCCACTGACTCTGACTCAAATTAAACAGTACTTGTTAAGAGAGCCAAGTCATCTGTAATTGTACAGTCATATGCACTAGAAGGCAAAGGACTCTACATAACTCTTCAGATTCATATAGAGCTTGCGGAAGCACTGCGGCAGAAAGGATTCAAAGCTAAGCAGACTCACACTTTGGTTGAACATGTCTGTCTCGTGTCGTAACTGCGTATATTGGCAAAGGTGCTGCCGAATCATTTCCACCCTCTCTACTTCTAGCCTCTCAAGTTCCTGAAATAAAAGAATGAAACATCTTCATTAATGGATATGAAATAAAGCCCTACCATTGTGAATCAAATATAAAGTGAATTTTTTCTTTTTTAATCTCTTTTGGTAATTTGTGATTGCTCCCTAAAGCAGGGGTGAACAATCCACAGATAATGGACACTTTTTTGGTCCTTGTTGCTCCTCAAGATCATGCCGTCAAAATTTGATGGCAAACCAGGCTAGGTGTCATTGTTCATTAAACAAATAAAATAAAACCAGAAATAGAACATCACATTCTTTGATAGGTTTAATCCCTTAACATATCTGTTTTACTGAACCCTCCAAGCCCATAACAGTGCAAGCAAAACAAATAAAAATTTCTCACTATGCTGCACTACTGTGCCCCCCTTGAAAAATCAATCAATCAATCAATCAATCAATCAATCAATCAATCAATCAATCTCTCTCTCCTTCCTTCCTGCCCTCCCTCCCTCCCTCCCTCATTTGAGACTGATTAACATGATAAAATAACCCCTACTGGAAAGTTATGCATCTGATAAGTTTTAAGAAGATCCACACACACACACCCTGCTGTAC